ATATATATATATATATATATATATATATATATATATATATATATATATATATATATATATATATATATATATTAATGACACCATTATGAGGTGATGAAATGGCACAGATGTTATAAAGATGTTATAAGGTCATGAGGTCAGACATTGAAGCTCATTCCAGTATACTACGAGCAAAGTGAGACTTCATTCATGGTGAATAACTAGGGTGAAAGGTGAAATGAATGAAAGGCAGGCAGTTTTGAGATGAGTGTGAGTTAAGGAAAGATAAAGACAGGTCAACCTTTATTAGAAGGAAGAGATTGGTTAGGCAGCCCAGCAAAGAGAGAAGTCCTTGAAGCACACAGTCATCCATTTCTACAAACTATAAAGTCAGCCGGGGGGAAAAGAGGCAGAGAAGAAATAGGAGAGATACAGTGGGAGGAAAGAAAACGATAAAGTAGGCGAAAAGAAAGAAAAAAAGAAAGGCTTGGAGCAGAAAACATTAGACGTATACTGAACAATAGCTGATTACCACATGTATAATGCTTGGGTTTCCGATCCGACCAGCCGGTGCAGTAAGTGTGTTAGTGATGTGTGTTGTGTTTTCTTTAGTAGTGTGAACTGTGTGAACGTTAGTATGTAATGAAGTGCTCAATCCTCTGCCTTCAGGGCTGGGAGTTGAGCTGTAGGTTTTAATCACAGGAACATAGAGAACAACGAACTAGTGAGTCCCTCACAGGGACATTGAGGTTTAAAATAATTTTGAAGAGAGCACACCCCCACCCAAAGCCCAAATTAGCTTTAATCAAAACACGGCACTTTAAATGTTGTTGAGGTTTACACTGGGAATGTAAGAGAAGCCGCTGACCTTGATTTCTCTGTTGTACTGCTCCATTTGTGAGAGTTTCGCAGTGGTCTCTCTCTCCAAAACATCCAGCTGCTCCTTCAGCTTCCGACAGCTCAGATCTTTCTCGCACAAACTCTGTTTCACATCATTTATCAAAGGACCTGAAAGGGGAAAAAGAATGAGAGAAAGAAGGACATAAAAACGTCAATGTTCCCAGGCCTTGAATTCAAGAGGGATGACACAGTTGAAATTAGTCATCCACCCGTCTATTTACTGATTGCTTCAGGTCTATGTGAGTGCTCACTTGAGTTGTTTTGGATAATATGTAGAAGTCTCTCTGTCAGTCGCTGCTTCTCAGGACCAAGGCGACTCAGCTGCCTCTGAATTTCCTGCAAGAACACATTCATATAGACTATTATTTAATTTATTTATTTTAAAGATTGTTTTAATGTGTTTAAAAGAAGTCTCTTATGCTCACCAAGGTGGCATTTACAGTATTTGTTTAAAAATACAGTAAAAACAGACGAAAAATGTTTTCTATTTGAATATATTTTCAAATATAATTTATTTCTGGGATGCAGTGCTGAATTTTCAGAAGTCACTACTCCAGTCTTCAGTGTCACATGATCCTTCAGAAATCATTCTAATATGCTGATTTTCTGCTCAAGAAACATTTCTTATTATTATCTTATTATCAATGTTAAAAACAGTTGTGCTGCTTAATATTTTTTGGTGGACACCATGATTTTTCAGGATTCACTAACAAATAGAAAGTGTAAAAGAACAGCATTTACTTGAAAAATATTTTTTGTAACATTATAAATGTCACTTTTGATCAATTAAATGCATCCTTGCTGAATAAAAATACATTTCTTGAAAAAGTTTTTACTGATCACACTTTTACACAGTTGTGTACAACAATGAAAGAATGAAAAATAAGTTAAAAATAATGAATGCAATGCTATTCATGCAACAAAAACATAACCTACCTCAAACTGCAACTGTAGGGAATTGATATCCGTAATACGACTATCTCTCTTCTGATTGATCAGGTCTAGCTCAGTCCTCTGGATCTGCCTCTTACTCTTGGCGTCCCGCAGCCTATCAGAGATCTGCTTATGCTTGTTACCCTAGGAGATGAAAAGACTGAAATGTTTTTAATTTGTAATATAACATAATCATCATTGCCCAGAGAATAGGGTGTATGAGGCTGGATGGGGAACAGGTATATGGAAGAAGGAAAAAACTGAAAGAAGAAATGGCAATCTGACCACCGCCTCCAGCTCTATCTCGAGATTCCTCTTCCTGTCTTTAAGTCTCTGTATGTCACTCTGCTCTTTTTCTCTCTGTGTCTGAAGCTCCACTCGTTTACTCTTCTCCCATTCCATTCGCCTCTGTCGCTCCTCTTCCTGAGAGAGCGATAAAGAGAAGGAGAGGTTAATCAACAGATGTACGGTCTAATCACTCATTCTGACATGAATATACTACATAATTATGCTCCCATCATTTTTCCTAAGGCGAGGAACCACTCCACTGGTACAGTATATATTAGGGTTAACTCATGAGTTAATTAAATATATCTAACACCATTACATTTTTTAAAGCAATTAACCTAATTTCCTACTTTTGATATTACAACAGTTACATTCTGTTCTTTATGATTTCTAAAGACCACCAGGACAGGCAATCAACACACACATTTTCCTTGTGTAATGAAATGCAGCATTAGAGAAGCATTAAACTTTGTCATGAAAGAGTACATAAAGTACAGTAATTATTAATTAACAATCACAAGTTTTTAGATTTCTAATAAATAATTTAAGATTTTTGTTTTTTATTTGATGTGTTATTTAATTAACCACTATATTCCTAACTTAATATTTTAACAGTTGATTTCATTACATTATTTATGCAAATGCAGTCAATTTATATGTACCTGTAAATGAATTTATGCTGTTTATAGAGCTGTTTATGTATGTATACTGTATATACACACACACACACACAAACATATATATATATATATATATATACAGTGTTAAAGAAGATTTTATATAACTCTACACACGTATGCACAAAATTAATAATTTTTTTAGTATATTTTGTACATATTTTTGTACACTAAAGAAAAAACTGTATAAAAACACTCAACATATTTGCTTAACATATTTAAAGGACAAAGATACTGGCTCAGTTCACAAAGAAAACATATAAACTACAAACCTTCATGAGATTAATCATGATTTAGTTTTTTTGATACGCCTAGTGTATAAACAATTTATTCATTCAACATCTATGCATGTGGAAAAAACGTGAGGCTTTGCTGTAATATTCTAGTGGTCGTTCAACCTCTGTCTGCCCTTGCATGCACCACTTGCCTCTCGTCGCTCTAATTCTTTCAGTCTTTCTTCTTCTCTCTGTCGCTCCAGCTCTCTCTGCCTCTCTATCCTCCTCTCCTCTTCCCTCTGTCTCCTCAGGTCCATCTCCAGGTCTTCTCTCTCCTTTTGTTCTCTTTCCTCCCTCTCCTTCTGTCGTCTCCTCTCCTCCTCTCGTCTCTCCTCTTCTCTCCTCCTCTCCTCCTCTCTCTTTTGCTCCTCCTGCAGAGCCAGACGTCGTTTTTCCAGCTCTGCATTTCCTCTCTGGAAATTCTCCTTGAATTTATCCTCAAATGACACTGACAGAGACAGACAGAAAGGTGAGGTAAGTGTTATCAAAGTCAACACAATAAAAATAGTATAATATAGAACAGAAAAGTGTATATTAAAAAAAGGTTACATCTGAGGCATTTAATCTTAACACAAACTCAAAAGAGACTGTTCAGCTGAATCAGCAATATTTAGAAAGATCATTTACAATGCTGTGTAGAAATAAGGACAGTGTGTGTTTGTGACCTGAGTACGTATTTGCACAATTTATTCAGCAAGGATGCATTAATTCGATCAAAAGTGACAGTAAAGATATTCATAATGTTACAACAAAAATGCAAATAAATGCTGTTCTTTTGAACTTTCCATTCATTATATAATCCTAAAAAATATCACGGTTTCCATGAAAATATTAAGCAGCACAACGGTTTTCAACACTGATAATAATAAGAAATGTTTCTTGAGCACCAAATCGGCATATTAGAATGATTTCTGAAGGATCATGATGATAACTTTCCACATAGATAATGATTATTTTAATGGCTTTGCAATGTGAGCATAATGAAATAGGTAAATACATTAATAAGGTACTAAATGCATGTTTTTATAGCTCAGGTTTAAAATGCAACACACACTTTTGATTAATAAATGTATTTTTAAATTGAGCAATTCTGTATATAGCTCATATAGCATCATTAAAATGCATTTTAAATATATCATATATATTAAATAGTATAAATGCAATATATTGGAAGGCAAAAATCTGTTGGCCACTAGTACGTATAGTATATGTATATGCAAATACCATTACTCTTGCTTTTCTGTGGATGTTCTGACTCAATCAGCTCAGTGTTAATCGAAGGAACAGGTCCGTTCAGCAGGTCACATGACTTTGCTTGTCTGAAAACAAACACAAACTCACAGAATAAACACAGTGTCCTCCATATCTTACTCATTCCAGCATGGGCGGGTCTATGTGTGTCTTACCTGAGTGAAGGTGGCACAAGATCAGGAGGTAGAGTCAGAGGTAAGGGCCGCCCAGTCTTGGCCATATCAACCAGGTGCATTGCTAGAATAAACTCTTCCGCTCTCAACTGCCCATCACGATCTACATCAGCAAGAGCCCTGAAGACAGAGATATATACACATAATGTACCCACGCACAAGCACACACATGACACACACATTAACCTGGAAGCATTTCAAATGTTTAATAGATGAATCAGTTCCTAATAATCCAACTGGCACCTAAACAGCAGACGCAACACTGTGGAAGTAGGTGTTTAACACACCGCTTCGAGCCATACAGTGTGATCCAGGGTTTAATGTGTGCGAGTGATTAATGCATGGGTCTTCAACAAGTTTCTGCCTATTTGACACATTGACTTTTTGTAAAGAAAAAATGGAAATATGTATTAAACAACGCAAAGGGGGGAGGATGTGTATGCAAATAATGTAATTAAAACATGTTCTTCATGAGATTAATGAGTGTTTCATATGATGAGTACAGTGATTGTTGAACTCACCATATGGTGGCAAGCTGTGTTTGTGTGAGGTTTGATGCTGTGAGGGCATTTCTGACCTGGGGACCTTCAAAAAAACACAAAAGAGTTAATGCATGACACGTATACAGAGATGCTATCATATGCAAACACTACCATTGCCTACAAACACACACTCACCTGACAGGTATCCACTCATCAGCTTGTCTAGACTGTTGAACTGCTGTCGGTATTTCAGACGGGATGACTGAGGCACCGCCCAATCAGATGCATTCATTTTGGGGGAATTACTCGCAAGGGAGGTGGTGGAGGAAGAGTTAGAACTGTGGAAATTTAGAAATAAATGATTAGTATGCTTTTCTATAAAAGTGATCATTTAAAGGGGTCCTATTATGCTTTTTCACTTTTTTAATTTTAGTCAGTGTGTAGTGTGTATGTTTGGGCATAAAAAAGATCTAGAAAGTTACAAATCTCAAAGTCCACTCCAAAGGGAGATATTTAGTTTTTTCCACAACACAAGTGAGTAACAGTGCCGGATTCCAAAAGCTTTTGTTGAAAGACGGAGCAAGGAGGCGTGGCAGTATGAACACAGTCTAAGCTGTTCGCCAATCACAACGCACTGGGACAGCTAACCAATCACAACACATTTTGTTTTTCGGAAGGCGGACCTTCATCAAAGCCGGAACTAATCGAGCCGTTTGTGCCAGGATGGGGAGAGAGGTATTTTAATAATGTAAATTATGTGAAAAATAATGCGTTTTTCGAACCACCAAGCATGAGAGCATGTTCTAGTACACCCCCAAAACAAAATCAAGACTTTGTAAAAGAGCATAATAGGACCCCTTTAATATGTAATGCTTTTTTCAATAAATAAACTAACTGATTAAGGTTTTAGGTTGCACCTAATTACTAAATGTATGTTTTTTTTAATGCATTAACTAATGCTAAATATAGATCCGCTTCATTTTCCAAATCTGCGTGTGTTCAGATAATTCCTGAGAGTTTTCACTTGTACAGCACTCTTGAATCCAGAAATTGCATTTGCATGCCAAATTTTTTCGAATGAGCTCCATTTAGCAGCTGCTCATTAACACTAATATAATCCTCTCATGAACCAATAACCTAGACCATCATAAAACACAGACAACTGGTCTCAGGCTAGCTGCAAAATCAGCTTTTCCTTTAGTGCTGTGAGATTCTGCTGTGACATTATACTTTAAATAATTGATATATCTGAGCAACATTTGCTGAATCCTTGTTAGTGCAGTAATTACCACTACCGGGACCATTAAAATCATAATTAAAACTCATAATAATGAGCAATTCGCAGTATTCTGACTCACTGCTGTCAGTTCACTGATTTTTAAATATTCTGAGATAACACTAACAGGATTCAGCAGCCTTCTGCACTTCGGCATGGGCTGGAATGATAGACAGAACAGGATGAGAGGTTCAGAGAGTGAGATATCATCCTGGTGACTGGCTAATACCCTTACAAACTAACCCAAACATATTTGCACACATGGGTGGACACGCACAGACAAAATAAGACTGAGCAGTATATCTAAAAATATAAAGTTTTCACTCTTTTGATAATATTCAGCCCTAGACCCAGTAAATAAAGTTACGCCCATAACAATAAATTTGTTTCTTACAAACACACAGCGTTTCACTGCACAAGATGATCATTTATTGACTAGAGTCATGTGGGTATTGGTTAACTTATAAATTATTGTGATGTTTTTATCAGCTGTTTGCGTTCTCATTCTGACGGCACCCATTCACTGCAGAGGATCCATTAGTTAAAAATGATGTAAAGCTAAATTTATCAAAATCTGTTCTGATGAAGAAACAAACTACAGCTGGGATTTCCTGAGAGTGAGTACATTTTCATTACTTTTAATATAATCAATTCATTTTATACAATAACTAAAAAAAAATCTAGTTAATCTAGAGAATAATATTTAATCATTTACTCTTGTCATTCATTTGCATTGTAACAATGCATGAATATAAACATCAATATTTAATATTTAATTAATCAACATATATTTTCACTAGAGTGATGACACGAGTGACTTGTTGAGCTAAAATTTTGAAACGGACAGATTTCATGGAAATAGAAACTTAGGCACGTTTATGGCTAAATAAAAAGGGCATTAAAATGATTGCGACATACATGATGTTGCTTAATTCTGTATCGTCAAGATAATCATTCCGAATGTATTGTGTATATTAGATATATTGCACAGCCCTAGACCCAAATTCATTTTAAACAGGCACTGAGCAGGAATTAGTGGGTTTATTACAGGCTTCTGTACAACCATGTGGAGGTTGGATGACTCTCGGAGGAACCCTAACAAGATCCTATTAAGATACAAGGAGACAGCTGTGCTATTCAAGCACTCTGTCAGCAAACACACTCTTATTTACTACAAACTTCTAGTGCTGGCAAAACAAGCCCAGAGTAACAGGGTGTCTCAGAGCACAGTTCTAAGAAGTATTTTTTAGCTATCACTGAAACAAACACTCAAACACTTGCATGCAATAGATATTACACCCAATTCTAATACAAACATGGGCGTTGAACTTAGTATGCATGCTTCACACCTGCTAGAGACAAGGTCCAAGAGCGAGTGAGATTTACTCAATCCACTGGACACTGGGAATGCTGGAAAGATAACAGAAGAAAGAGAATTACTTAAAGCACATGCAAACTTTGTAACTGAGTTATAGATTATGCAATATATCAATGGTTGAGTCTCATTGCATATAGATTTAATACATGCATACTGAATGCTCATCTGTGCAAAATGGTGGTTTGTGCATGAATTTAGGATAGAAGGTGTTACAGTACCTGGTGTTGGTGTGAAGAGAGTTGCATTGCCGTTAGGTAAAGCTGGCACACTGAGAGAGCTGGGCATCTGAGGCAATGGTCCTGACATCAGGGTGGGCACAGGAACCAAAGGGGTCATAGCAGAGGCTGCGGGGATGGGAGTTAGGATGGGCATTACTGACATGGCAGACAGATTTGGCATGGAGCCCATACCTGAAATAAATCAAAGCCAGATTATATGATATCATTTCTATGTTATATACTGGTACCATATTGATTGTCAACTGATTTTTTTATTAATTTGTATCGATGTCACATTTAACTATATATTGGATATTAAGCTGTTCATGCTCATTTATGCTGTTTTTACATTTCTTTTACTTTTGCCATCATCTAACGCTCAGTTTAGAATCATTTAAAAAATTAATTTATAATTTTTATAAATTAATCATTTATAAAAATGTATAATTTAATAACACTGTTTTATGCAATAATCAGTAGATGCAATGTTAAATATCATGTTAAATATAACATTTTCACATTGTACATTCACATGTAGTATGTAAAATAATTTTTGATTTTAGTGTTTTATTTGTAAATGTTTTTATTTATTTATAAATAATAATATTCTATTTAAATTCAATTTTCTTATTATTTATATACAATTCTAATATTTATTCATATTTTAATTAACTTTTGTTTAAATTTTTGTACTTCTATATTGCTTTAGTTTATTTTTATTTCCGTTTTAGTCATTTTTGTACTTCAACTTAACATTATTCAATTAGTTGCCAAGACAACGTTTCTAATTTTCACTCAAGTTTTAAGTTGAGCTTTTTCATCTAATATTTATTTATTTGATAGTATTAGACAGACAGATAGATCGTCCAGTTACACATTTCTGAGATTTTATATTAAAATAATATTATATGTCTTAATATGTCTTCATCATCTTCAAAACCTGTAGTATGATTGTCCCAACCTGTAGTATGAATGAGGCTCAATAAACTTGTTAACACAGCAAACAAACCTCACATGGCATTACATAACCAGTTATTAACTCATACCAAAGCGTGATGATGGTGTCATAGCAGGGGTAGGCGTCTGCTTCATGATGATTGGCAGGTTGGACGGGAGAGGTTGACCCTGCAGCTGCAGTTTAATTAGTTTCATTGCAATAGAGAACTCCAATCTGTCCATCTTCCCATTCTTTCCAATATCCGCCAATGCCCTGAAATAAAGGAAGCAGATATTCTCATCAAAAGTGGCTTACAGAGCACTAATTGCTAGTAAAATCCCCACGGAAAAACCCAGAAGTTGGTTTGTGATGACTGAGCAGCATTATTATGAGCTCAGATCTTTGTTATGCTACCATATTTCTTTATGAACAAGAGAATTTTAGAACAAGCAAACGCTATAAACTCAAATCAGACATTCTGTATACTGTATCAGTAAATCTACATCCTGTTTGTGGATGGGCGACAGTGTTTACACCAGTAGACTAATCACAGACAGGAAGAGGTTATTTTTGGGAACCACCACCCTCCAGAGACGTATGTGGCTTCAAATGCACATTATCCCACACACATTCATTTCAGATTTTATTATGATATATCCAGCCCTGCAATAGCAAACACAATCACATTGGAACATACAGATATCAATGGGGTCAAAAATACAAAGTGCCACAAGTGAAAATGCTTCTTAAATGATCTTAAAATGTAATACATTTTTGAGAAAGAAATAGGAAGGGTTACAGTCATCTGAAAGACAGATAAACCGGATTAAGTGTGTATGTACATTAAGGGTGTGTGTACATGTGTGTATACTTACCAGATGTCTGCTAGGACTGCTGTGGCAAGACCAGATTGTAAGAAGAACTTTCGTGCTTGATCTCCTAGAAAGAAAGAAAAGTTACGTGCACTGTATATGGAGCATAATTTGCATGTTCATACACTACCTTTCAAAAGTTTTAGGTGTCGTATATGCTACATAAATATTGCAAAATAATATTACAACTTAAGAATATCGGTTTGCTATTTTAATATATTTTAAATTTCACTTTATTCCTGTGATGACAAAGCTGAATTTTCAGTAGCCACTACTCCAGTCTTCAGTGTCACATGATCCTCAAGAAATCATCCTAATATCTTGATTTGCTGCTCAAGAAACTTGATAAAAATTTTCAGGATTTTTTGACTTGTATTTTTTTATCAAATTTAATGTGTCTTTGCCGAGTAAAAATTATACATCTTTTTCAAAAAGTATCAAAAATCTTACTGATACCAAACATATGAACAGTAGTGCATGTATGTGTGTGCTCTTACCTGACAAATAACCCAGAGTGGGAGCCAGAGAGTCAAACTGTTTGTCATGTTTCCCCCTCTCTTCTGGAGTTATAGCCCAAATATTAAAACCACCTGCGACAATGACAGGGACAGAGAAAGTGAAAGACATTTTATTCCTTTTGATTATTATGTTTTGTCTTCTCAGATCTCATCCTGGATCAGCTGTTGTTTTTCTCCTTTGTGGGTCTTGAAGTTCCTGCCAGTTCTCTGCAAGATTGTCTGTTTCTTTGACAAAGGCTGTTGGCTTGTGTGATCCAGGCATTAGAGATGTCTGGCTGGAAAGAGGCTGCATATTTTACATATTTTAATGGAATGACAGTGCCAATAATAATTATTTACTATTTATTGTAAACCATGATGTCTCGCAGAGGCAGCAGGCAAAGATCTATCAAAAATGTCAGTGTCCAATTACAACCTGCTCCACTTAACATGCTCAAAGTGAGTCAATCTCAACACAGCTTTCACACAGAATGCTGAAGACATGCCTTTTATCACCTGCTGGTGTTTTGGCTCTGCTCTTAATAGGTGCAGACAGTACTTGATTTGAAAAATACAGCTGTGTAGCAGCTCTGACTATGTGGTTTCCTTCAAAAAGGAACTTTATTTAGTTGAGGGAATAGTTCATCCAAAAATGAAAATTTGATGAGTTTGTTTCTTCATCAAAACAGATTTGGAGAAATTTAGAATTACAACATTTACTCACCAATGGATCCTCTGCAGTGAATGGGTACCGTTAGAATGAGAGTCCAAACAGCTGATAAAAACAGCACAATAATCCACAAGTAATTCACCAACTCAAGACCATCAATAAATGTTTTGTCAAGTAAAAAGCTGCATGTTTGTCAGAAATAAATACTCATTAAGGAATTTAAATTTTAAACCGCTGGCCAAAATACCAGCAGAGAATTGATCTGTGCAGCACAAAACTGATCTGTGCATATTTCTCTCCTGTTTCAGATGAGACTATTTTTAAGTGGAGAAAGCAGAAAGCAATATTAGGAATAGAGGACTTATAGTTTAACTAAAAGCAACTGTTTGAAGTTAAAAACATCTTAAAAATGAATTTATTTATTACAAATATCTAGTTGTTGTTTTTTTTGCTTTACAGGATGTTAAGTGATGGACCGGAGTCTTGTGGATTTTTGTGATGTTTTTATTAGATGTTTGGACTCTCATTCTGACGGCACCCATTCACTGCAGAGGCTCAATTGGCAATCAAGTGATGCTAAATTTCTCCAAATCTGGTGCAAAGAAAAAACTAACTCATCTACATCTGAGTGTACATTTTCAGCAAATTATAATTCTTAGGTGAACTGTTCCTTTAATGAAAGAATGGGGCAAATGTTATCACACCCTCTTGTTCATTCTTTCTTTCTCAGCCTCTCTTTTTTCTCTGGGGAGGAAACAAACTACTTTTGGCTCATTTTTCCTGCATTGTCAGCAGAGCTAAGATTCTGAAAAAGGCCATCATGATTAATTAAGTGCAGGTCTGTGAATTCATGTGTTGTCTTTCTTCACGGAAATTTAGCTCATTCAACAAAAGATAAAAACTCTTTGACAGTTTGAGATAATCAGCCTTTACTTCAGGAAAATGGAGCTACTTCTTATGACAAAAAAGGAGCAATTAGTCCAACTTTCAACAAACTAGTAGCACTAGATTAAAAATGATTAAGCTCTAAAGAAATCAATAGTACTTTGAATATGTTTGAAATCACGTTCACTCACACGACTAGTAATATCAGTAGTTTAATAGTCAGCAGTTTTGTTTTATTTTTACATGAATCTGATCATCTCCTTAGGGGAGCCAGTGTCTTGATGGTGAATCTTAAAGGTCCCATGGCATGAAAATTTCACTTTATGAGGTTTTTTAACATTAATATGAGTTCCCCTAGCCTGCCTATGGTCCCCCAGTGGCTAGAAATGGCGATAGGTGTAAACCGAGCCCTGGGTATCCTGCTTCGCCTTTGAGAAAATGAAAGCTCAGATGGCCCAATCTGGAATCTTCCCTTTATGTCGTCATACGGGGAAAGGTTACCTCCCCTTTCTCTGCTTTGCCCGCCCAGAGAATTTGGCCCGCCCATGAGAAAATGAGCTACTACCGTGCGAGACGAGCGCAATATTTTTTTTTCCTCGAGACATCATGGCTTGCAAACGAGCGAAGCATGGCAGTTGCCCCGCCTCTCTCCTCCTCATTAGCATTAAAGCTACAGACACAGAAATGGCACGTCCTAAGGAAAGCTCATTGTAGGACTGGCTCGTAGTGGCTGAAATTCTGCACCAAGGCTGAATTTCGGGAAAGAGACTTCAGATACAGTACTATGGACCACTTAGGCCTATATAAAAGCATCTAAAAAGCAGCATGTCATGGGACCTTTAAATGTTCTGAGCAACAATTAAAAAATATTTTACAATGTAAAACAAATACTGTAGGCTGATTTGCTAAAACAATTTGCAATGACAAAGCAACAGCTTTTTTCTCTGCAATGTCGTTCTATTGTGAAGCACATATGATACCAGAGGCAGTAACTACAAGGACACTGAGGATACCCATGAACCCAGGACATATTAAAATTTTTGGTGGAATTGTTGGGACACAGCTCATGAAGCAGAAGCATCAATGTTAAGTCAGTGAGCATAAAAGCAGAACCCAGGACATATTAAAATTTTTGGTGGAATTGTTGGGACACAGCTCATGAAGCAGAAGCATGAATACATTTTACACAGTATTCAAGGACAAACGGTTCCACAATCAGGTCTCCTAACATTGAAACGTGGCAACGGACTGTGTCAGTGTGGGAATCAGGGAGTCTGTGTGATGGTGTATTCAGGTGCTCCTTTGGGAAATTTTAATCCCTCCAGGCCATGCACACAGTGAAGCATTTACTTGAGGTTTATTACTAATCCAGGCCCAATTAGCTATTAAAGTGGTAAGAGTAAGTGTTTCTCTGTTGAAGATGTAGCAGGTTTGCTTTTGTGCTTTAGCATTACCGCTCAGACAGAAACAACTTCACAAATTTAAGATACCAACTGATATATGTAATTTACAGAAGCATATAAAGCATCCAAAAATACCACACATTATAAGCAAACAATATCTGTTTCTCACTGTGCACTTCCAGGTTGATTAAACTGTGAAGAGGCAACCCTTTCCCAAAAGCACTAAGAGGATTAACCACTACACACATATACATAAACAAACGAACAAGTATTCACAGAGACAAAATAAGCTCGCAGACACACACACACAAAGAACACATTCCTATAAATGTCCAAAATGTTCCTCACAGTGCTGAAATTAGCATTTATTTGGGATGATGTAGCAATTTAGCTTCATAGCCAATTACACAAATATGACTTATGTCAGGAACCAACCACTAGTATTTAAACCTGCAACCTCAGCTTTCCTACTTCTACCACCACCATGATGCAGCCTTCAACAAATAAACCTGAAAATCCCTCCTGGGATTTTCTTAAAGTCAGGAAATTGTAGCTAAAGAATAAATGCTTCAATTTTGCTTCACTTTAAAGTCACACATCAAAACACACCCAAGATATTAAACAAACTCCACTCACCCTGCCTGCTCTCTTTCTCTAGCTTATCTTGGACTGAAAGATAAATATTTTATTAAAACCTTAGCGAGAGCTGACTTGAACCACAGCAGACTGGTGTCTCAATTAGTACATCTGAAAGGCTCCTTCAGATTTCCCTCACAAACAAGTATAAAGGTATTCCCAAGTTTTTGGACACAAATGGATTTTGATATACATTTATTGTACAGAATTTGTTTGCCGCTTTTATTCAAAGTATCTTTCACTGCTTTCTGTGCCTTCTTTTCTGGTAATACATTATACCATTGTAAAACTATGACATTCTATGAAGTACCATGTAAAAACTATTAAATATGAATATTACAGTAATTCAGTATGATGGTATAATTCAAAGCACCATGGTACTGTATTACTATGCTTTACCATCACTGGTAGAATGGTGCCACCACAGGTGTGATGTAACAGAAGTAGTGACCGATCTATTCTTCTGCATTGAGACATACATCCGAGTGAAATGGATTATTAAGAAGAAAAAATATAGGGCAGGGACTTGGTCCAAATCATAGTTTTTTATTGGATGGAGGCATATCAAAAAGCTTGCAGTCGATTGTAAGGGGCGGGGTTTATCTGGATGGAATTATTGGACGCAACGAGAGAGAGGTCCAAGTCTAACATATGCATAGATTATTCATTCATGATCAAATCAATAAGATGCATTTAGAAAAGAGATGGAGTGAATTCCTTTAACCTACAAATGTGTTGTAGCATTCAAATTAATTGACTTTATTTTATTATGTCTTAAACATTTTTTAAACATTTTTTACCTTATTTTATTTCATCAACAATATTAACTTACAAAAATATTACACCTACTAACCTACAAAGGGTACCTCCTCAAGGTAATTAAAAAATATATTTTTATGAAAGTGCAACAAATATTTTTTTTAAAATTGTCAAAATCCTTTATAGAGTTTAGCAAATATTAGTCTGTCCCTATATAAATAAGGAAGCAGTCATTAACAACTTTCAACTGGGTGTGTTCTGTACAAACCCTGCGCTGAACATTCTGATAACGACATCACTAAGAGTCTGTTCAGTCTTAGAAGATTCTACAACACAAGAACTTCCCATGTTTTTCTGTAGTGACTCAGCACACAAGCCAAATGAGCTGCGTCTGAATTTTTCTCCATAGCCTCATCCTTTTAAAGGCATAGTTCAACCAAAATTAAATTGTGGTCATCATTTACTCACCCCCGTGTTGGATGACCTTCATTTGCAGAACACATAAGATATTTAGTAGACTGTCGGAGCTGCTCTCTTCTATAATGAAAGTGTACGGAGACCAGAAGCTGTCAAGCTCCACATTAAAATGGTCATAAAAATGGTTCATATGACTATATTCCAAGATGCCTGAAGCCATATGACAGATCTCTATTAAAAAAAAAGTGAAAATTTAAGTGAAATTTAAGTTATTCATCAAAAGTCAAGTCTTGGCAGTCATGGTAAACATTTACTTTCATTGTGTGGAAAAGAGCAGCTTGAGCATTCTCCTACACATCTCCTTTTGTGTTCCACAGAAGATAGAAAGCTAAATGGGTTTTAAAAGACATAAGGGTGAGTAAATGATAATGGGATTTAAAGAAAGTCCATGCCCCTGACACACAAAAGAGCTGTGTTCTTACCATTCATGACTGCAGGTGGGATGTGAGGGACCCTCTACACGACCGGCTGGCTAATACTCATCTGGAGAAACAGAGAGAGAGAGAGGATTTCACATGCAGACAAGCAACAGAGGACACACTATGATGGGAGAAGAAAGAGGTGAAGCAAGAGAGAGACTGTGAACAAGTGAAAAGGATTAAATGGGAAGAAGAGAACAAGTAGAGAGTAATGAGAATGGAAAAGAGGGCTTTTAAAGGATGGACAAAGGGAGATGCACCTCTTTCAGCTGCTCTTGAATATTTTTGGCCATTGTTTCTATCCATTTTCCTCTTATACTCAATCATGTTGTTTGCCATAACACACACATGCAACAAGCCACATCCCCTGTGCACCATCACGCACTCACACACAAACAGGATATTGATTGTGCCAGAGCGTTTTCGCCTAATGCAAAGCGATTGTTCATCTCTGTCTTCGCTCTAAAGCCCTTTCTGGGAAATCAGCCCTGCGTCTCAGAGCTGAATCTGAGTCGGTGCTCCATGGACAGATTGAACAAACACAAGCAAAACACAAACTCCCATTACAGCTGAGGAGGTCTGAGCCCATTTAAACACTTGCTGGAAAAATCTAGAAGTCCAGTAAGGGTGAGTTGCGGTGGCTACAGCTACATTCACACAGCAGCAGGTTGTCAGTCCTTGAAGTAGGCCCTACTGTATAGTACTCTAAATAGTACACAAATTGTTTTATGTGCTGCATGCATTTCAGTCACAAACGTTAAGGCTTTCAAAGTCTCCTGGATTGTTAAAAATGGCAAAAAGAAAGGTGTATTGTGTGGTCAAACAGTGAGACAACAGGGATACAAAAATATTTATAAATAAATCCTGAAATAAAGTATTTTGACAGATATGAGAGGATGAAAGTTGCAGGACTGTCAAATGCCAAACAATTTAGAATAATAATCATAACTGTTTTAGTTTATGTAAGATTTGTTTATAAATACAGTAAAAGCTCTAACATTGTGAAACATTGACAATTTAAAATAAGTGTAACAAAGTTTGTAGTTCGGGAAGAAGGAGGCGGGAACCGGCGAACGTTCAAAGAAAACTTTAATAATAAAATAAACACAAAATAGCTCGACAGCCCCTCGCGGACGACTGTCGCGCACAAACAGAACCAAAACACAAAATAAAATCCAGGCCTGGTCTTCTCTCCTCCAACACTGTCGTCACTCCTCCTTTTATCCTTCCGGAGCTCCTCTGTGGGACTCGAGACCAGTGAGTGGCGCAGGTGTCGCGCATTAGCATTTACTCCACCGGCCTCGCTCCGTTCCCACGGCTCTTGGCCCCGCCCCTCTCGTCACAATAAGTTTTTTTTTTTCTTCTTTTTAATATATTTTAAAATACAATTAATTCCAGGAATGCCATAGCTGAATTTTCAGCAGCCATTACTTCAGTCTTCAGAAATCATTCTAATATGCTGATTTGGTGCTCAAGAAACATTTATTATTATTATCGATGTTGGAAACAGTTGTGCTACTTAATATTTTTGTGGAAACAATGAAAGATTTTTTTCAGGATGCTTTGCTGAAAAGACAGTTTAAATGAATCTTCAGTAACATCATAAAATAGCTTTACTGTCATTTTGATCAATTTAATGCATCCTTGCTAAATAAATGTATCTGTTTATTCATTAAAGAAATAATAAAGTGACCCCAAACACTGACTGTGTGCCTATTTAATTTCATAATCTATATTGCATGTACTGCAGATGAACTGTTTTCATTTTGCCTAAGCTGTAAACCTGTAAAACCTGGATAGACACAGATTCTTCCTAGTTAAACTGTCACCAGTGTGAGAAAGTTTCATGTGTACAAACACTAAAAAAAGTTGGAAGGTGATTTAGTCAGTGACATTACAGGCTAATATATTTGTTTACAAGAGAGTACAGCTTAAGGCAATGTGTTAAAGTACTTCAAACGAGTTTACCTTTTTATATACTTGACAGTTTACGTAAATTTTAGGCAATATACAGGTTTATGAAAAGTAATCCATCAGTTACAGTAATGTTGACTGCATTTTTTGTAGCATTCTCAAAGAAAATTATATTTAAACAGTTCAGCATCAATCTGTCTAACGGTTACTTTAGAGCCATTTTCACATAGTTGATTTAAGTTCAAATTCAATAGCTTATCTTTTGTTTTAAATTGAAAGTCATTGGAATGTTTTCAAAGAGATTGGCAGTATTTCAGCTGAGCCGCTGCTATGGGGGAGGCAGTAGTGGTGCGGCTCAGTTATTATCCACTCAGAAGTGAGAGACAAAATATTACATCTTTCAGTAACTGCTCTGTTATGCTAGAGTGCATTAGTATACAAATCAGCACATCTCTGCACTTTAGCTGTCAGCAAATTTCCCTGCAGTATTGCGAGTGTTTGAATCTACTTTTTCAACTTCTAATTAGTCTTGCATGCCAGTGACTCAAGTAGCGCACAAACCTCTTCCTGCTCATTTGCTCTAATACTGTTAGATCAGTATGCTACATCCAGGCAGCAAATATCTGATTATTATTTAACATGCTATGCACTTCACACAGCTATATGAAAGGTTTAGAGGCCCCAAATCAATTCTTATTTCAACCTTGCAGCGTAAAACTTTACATTTACTCTAATATTAATAAATTATCATAGTTTTTACAATCCTTCTTGGTTAAAAAGGTTGGTTAGAAACAGATTGTCAAAGCTCTTTACACTGCAACAAGCGCTTTGCTTTCACAGTAGGAATTTCAGTTACATTTAGCATTAATCACTGACAAAAACAAAGACTTTCGTATGTAATGGTGCTTTTTTTTGTGAATTTTTGTCTGCTTAACACAACAATCTTAACTTACAATGCCACAAACAGCTTTATTGCATTGCAATGTGTTGTGCTGCTTTTATTGCTCCCAGGAGAATCATAGCTCTGTAATAGCACTGACTGCTGGATTATCTATGCTTTTATGAGTAAATCACATTTTGGATGATTTCACACCGTTACAATAGTATATGGTACCTTTATTACCACTTCACCAGCTGGCTGCAATGCAATAAAAGCAAGTTACTTAAGTCAAAAATGTCATCCAACAGAATAAACTATGCAAAACAGCACAGTGCAAAAGATCTACAAGTTCTGCTCCTTTTTCTGAAGTCAAACTGCCTTAATAAAAAGTAAGTTTGAGTCCCTGCTAGAGGTCCTTTCCGAATACTGTTTTCCTCTCTCTTCTCCCATTACTTTGTGTCTAGACCTCATTGCCCTATCAAATTTATAATGTGAATGAAGAAGAGCGGCATCATCAGTTTTGCATTAAGCAGTACTGAGGCTTAGGTGCTTAGAGCGATATCTCCGAATTTGATTCATGAACAGCACAGTATCTTTCATTTCTGCAGACTACAGAGGTTAACAGTATCATTACAGTGTAACTGAAGGGATCAGATATAAAGGCCTGTTCATCTTGGGTTACATGTCATGAAGTCGAATCAAAAGCTTATGTTTGACCTTAAATCCATCCATTACATGTGCTATGATTGATCTTATTGCTCATTATAAAACATTTCCAAAGTCAAAGGAATGCTTTGTGGCATTTCAAACTTACTTTTAAAATCAGCAATAATAATAGTAAAAGTATTTAGGCCTAATTGTGGTTCATTCAGACTGTGGAAATGCTTAAAAACACACTAAGTTATAATGTCTTTGTAGCGTTCATTTTAATATGCGCTGACACTCTTGAGACTGCTATTTGAGGCAGAAGAGAAGACAGATGGGGGTAATGAGACTGAAGATGTGACCCAGGGTTCTCATCCCCTACTAATCTATTGTGTGCAAATAAAGAGTTCATTACAGATCAATAAATGGAGGGTTAATAGACTGATGGATAGATTAAAGAGCTGAAAGCTGAGGCAGACTGAGAACCCAGTCCAAATCTGTGGTTTGGACTGGGTTCTCATTCACACACACTGAAACTCCAAACCCCTTTAGGCTTCTGTGATTGCTTTTACTACATAAGAATGCTCTTCAGTCTTTTACTTTGCCATACTTTGCATTTCATATTTTACCTTCTGTCCAAACACATCACTGAATACCTGCTTTTAAATAATAATAACACACACACACAAAAAAAGATCATTATTAATATTAGCTGTAATAGCAATTATCTCTTTCAGTCTTAAAGGGATAGTTCACACAAAAAATGAAAATGCTGTCATTAATCAGTCACCCTCATGTCGTTCCAAACCCGTAAGACCTTCGTTAATCTTCGGAACACAAATTAAAATATTTTTGATGAAATCCAAGAGCTTTTTGACCCTGCACAGACAATAACGCAACTACCACATTCAAGGCCCAGAAAGGTAGTAAGGACATCATTAAAATAGTCCATGTGACATCAGTGGTTCAACTGTAATTTTATGAAGCTATGAGTAGGGCTGCAACGATTAGTCAACATTATCGACAACGTCAACAATAAATAATAGTCAACAAATATTTTTGTTGTCGAATAGCCATTTGACCTCATCTGACCTAATGTAAGGGCCTGCAGTAGCGTGGTTTGACCAGTGTAGCGCTGTAGTGCAAGACTGTAATTCAGCCAACCCGGATGCAGTTCAAGAGAAGAAGACAAACACGCTTTATGAGAGTCGCAGTGTAAACGCAGCTGAACCAGGTGCTGCTGTGTATGTGGTGCACGTTTTCGTCTCAAAAACGAAATAAACACACAACAAAAATGACAGCAGTGAGACAACAGCAGCTAAGAAAGCATCTGATCATAGCGATGCGTGTATGTTTGCATGAGCTCTGCAATCGGCACTCCAGTCATGTCACTTTTTTTTATATAGTGCTTTATACATGAGGTTGATTTAAAGCAAGCAGCTTTACAGTATGAAAAATCAATGTCCGTGACACTTTCAGTTAGAATTACATCTTGATTTTCTGTTATAAATCAGCTATCCATTGTGGAGCAATCTAATGATAAATGTATTACTGAATGCAAAAAAATAATAAATACATTTTTAAAAACTTTATTACATTAAAGTGATAGTTTGGTTTGCATCGAT